CCCTGAACCGAGGGCTCCTTCTGTTTGCCCACCATGGAGCCGTGATGCTCCCGGAGATGGTCCGTCATCGCATCCTGGCTTTCTTTAGGGGTTTTAGGGTTTAGGGTTTTGGGGGTTTTGGGGGTTTTGGGGGGTTTGGTATAACGTTTTTTTTGGGGCTTGTTCTTTAGGGCCGGTTTCTGTGCTCTGCGGCATAAAGGCCCAGTTCTTTGTTGCAAGGGTTTGGGGTTTCGGGTTTTGGGTCGTGCTAGGGGCTTTGTAAGGGTTTTATCAGGGCTTCCGGGTTTGGCTGGGGTGCTTGAAGGTTTAGGCTCTCTAGGGTTTAGGGCTTTGGGGGAATGTTCGGGATTGCCATGACTTTAGGATAGGATCTCTGAAACTTCTCACAGGGTTTCGGGCTTAGGGTTTGGGGTTGCGGCTTGAAGGCTAAACCAATATAGGCGGAGTTGCGGATCTAGGGAGTTTTGGGTTTGCTTGGGGCAGATAGCTCCAAGTTCGAGATCACGGCTCCAGCGGCCCTGTTTCGCGAAGATGGCTGAGGTTTCCTATGTCACAGTCAGATCTTGGGTTCGATTTCGGGAGTTTGGGCATCTGAAAATCAACCCTAAACCCTAAACCCTAAGCCCTAAACCCTAAACCCTAAACCCTAAACCATATCTGAAAACTGATGAGGCTTCCCGAACCCAATGTCCGAAAAAATGGGCCCTAAACCCCAAAACCCGAAACCTCCTACATCCGAAACCCGAAGCCCCTAAACCCCTACATCTGAAACCCGACACTCCTAAAACCCTAAAACCCCGAAACCCGAAAACCCCTAAACCCTGCTTAGGGTCGTCATAGTGGTAACATTCATGGTCACAACAATAAGGATACGACTAAGAATAGTAATATCATTGGGTGCATGGAGTCTCTATATATAAATATATATATATATATATATGCATTCCGAGTATAGTAACTTCTGCTTCCTATATGATTTAAACTCTATTCCTTGGCAAGCACCCCCACAGCCAAACTGTCACATCGTCCTCAGTCTCTTGCAACAGGTTCTCGGTGAAGCCCTGTTCCGGGGATTGCAGTGGCTTTGTGGCTTGGGCCCACAAACCTTAGACCCAATACGGTTTAGGTTTAAGGTCTTAGTTTGGGCTTTTGGGGGCTGTGGGTTTCGGGTTTAGAGGTTCCGGGGTCGATATTCAAGGCTAACGGCGAGAAATGTTTGCAGGGAGCTTTGTTATTGCGTGGGCGCATGGGGTTTTGGGTACAGAGATAATCAGGATATACGGTCATGCCAGCGCAGGTGGATCACAGGTATGACCTCACCCTTGGGTTTAACCCTGAGGGTTTAGAGTTTAGGGCCTCCAGCACCCTGAATGCATGGAAATCCTCTACCATTCTGAGCCCCTCTGAAGCTCTCAACGCCACAAACCCTTGGAAGCCCATGAGCCCGACAATCCCGATTCTATCCCTTACCTCAACCCAAACAACCTACCGTGTTAAGGACTTATATAAAGGAATCATCATAAGGAGCCCCAAAAAGGTAGGTCCTTTAGGTTCCAGGTAGGGCCTCGGGGTTTTTTGAGACGGTTTAGGGTTTAGGATTTCTTGGGGCTCGGGGATTTTAAAGAGGGTTTAGCGACATCTCCTACCTGGAATAAAGCCCTCAACAACCCTCGCCTAAACGCTTATTCACGAATTACACCGTCCTGCTCGAAACCCTAAACTGGCCCGAAATGCTCGCTAAGAAATCACACAAACCCTGAAAACGTCTGTGTTTTTGGGCCCAGGGTTTAGGGTTCCTAGAATCAAAACCCAAACAAAGGCTGCGGCCCTAAACCCCAAACCCTAAGTTTCGGGTGTTGGGCCTCCTCCTTCATTTGGGCCCATCGACTGGCCGCCTGCGATACCCAAGCAGTTGCGGGGTTCAGAGCATTGGGTTTAGGGTTTAGGGGTTTAGGGATTTCGGGTTTAGGGGTTTAGGGATATAGGGTTTAGGGTTTAAGGGTCAGGGGTTTAGGGCTTGGGGTTTAGTTTTGGTGCCTCTCGAGGGTGTAGGCTTTTGTTGGGGTCTTCGGGCTTCTCGCCTGTTCTCCTTCATCCCATGCTGCATCATCTTTGGCGACCCAGCACCCGAACCAACCCCTCTTGAATTCGGGGCTTACGGCCAACCCTCGGCCAACCCTCAACCCTGAACCCAAAGCCCTGAACCCAAAACCCTAACCCCAGGGAAACAACGCTTAATGCCTCCTATCCCACAGAGGTGCGTTCTGAGCTATACCGGCGGCTACTTGCCTACTTGCAACCTTGCTTGCTCAGCCCCCAGCGATCCTCCAGGTAGGCCTCACCACGAAACCTCTTCCGCAGCCGCCATGCCCCCACAAAAAACTGTTCGGGGAGGGGCCTTTGGTGGCCTCATGGAAGCTTGTGTCAACGTGACAAATAAACCCAGAAGGACATGGTTCAGACAACAGTACGTACAGCAAAGCATATGAACATAAACGTTCCAGGTAACATCCCTACAAGGCCGGGAACACCAAAGCCTCAACCATGAAACCCTAAGCCCCGAAGCTTAAACCCTAAACCCTAAACCCCAAAACCCTAAACCCTAAACCCTAAACCCTAAGCCGTAGACTGCAGGCTTCGATGATTTTATGGCGTTTGCCCACAAGGCTCCAAGCTCCCGGCGGCATCCATCACGGTCATGCCGATCTCCTGGGATTCTTGGGCTTGCGGCTTTCGCAGGGGACCCCCCCCAAAAAGAAAATCCGAAATGCCCTAGACCCCAAAGCCCTGAAGCCTTTAACCCTAAAGGGCTGAAACCCTAAACCCTAAACCGTCCCAACTCCTAAACCTCTGTCGCCTAACCCGTTTGACGGTTTCGGGCGGTGACCTGGTGGTCTTCAGGACCTTAAGCCCGCAAGGTGCAAACAAACCAAAAAGTTTCGGGCTTTGGGTTTGGAGTTTAGGGTTTAGGGTTTAGGGCTTTGGGTTTAGGGTTTAGGGTTTAGGGTTTAGGCTGAGGGCTTAAGAGTGTGAACGAAGAGCTGCTGAGATTTAGAAATTAAACTCTTTAGCATATGGGTAGTTCTCTAAATTAGGGTCCCTGATGGGGTCCTTTTTATAAGGGTGCCGTACTATCTTGGGGACCTAAAAAGGGACCCGAATTTAGAGAACTACCCATATGGCGTTCGAACTCTTTACGGCGCATGTGCAAGCAGAGCGGCGGCGGGACATTAGACCTTGGCACTTAAGGGCGTCAAAGAGGTTTATGAGGGTTTCTATAATACCCAAGGCCCTAAACCCTCAAGCCTCAGCCGTTAAGCCCTACCAGCCTCGACCCAAAGCCCTGCAGACACTGAGCCCTCAATCCTAGACCCTCAACCATCCTAAACCCCACTACAACCCTAAGCCCTAAACCCTAAACCCTAGAACCCTAACCCTAAACCCCACTAAAACCCCAAACTAAACCCTAAATCCTCAAAGCCTACACCATAAATCATGAACCCTAAACCCTAAACCCTAAATCCCTAAAACCCTAAACCCTTAACCCCACCGAAAACCCCAAAGCTCGGCGATCTTCCCCCGACACAAATTTCTCAGGTTGAACCCATGGGCCCCTAGTATGGGCCCTTCACCCTGGGATCCTTATACATCTACTATATACCCTTAAAGGGTCCCTCGAAAGGCCCAAGGGTCCTAAACCCCTAAATCCTAAAACCTGAATCCTAAACCCTAAACCCTAAACCCTCCATATTAGGGGGCCCATACCTCCAACCTTACACAAATTGGAGCTGCGAGCGGCCGTCCAGGATGCTCCCTGGTTCTGCGCCTGTTGGGGATCTTGGGCTTAGGGGTTTTACCGGGTTTAGGGTTTAGGGTTTAGGGTTTAGGGTTGAGGGTTTAGGGTTTAGGGTTTAGGGTTTAGGGTTGAGGGTTTAGGGTTTGGGGATTGGGGATTTAGAGTTTAGGGTTTAGGATGTAGAGTTTCGGGTCTAGGATTTGGGGATGCAGGGTGTAGGGTTGGGGGCTTGTTTGGCCGCAAAAAGTTACGGTTTTGAGGACTTCTGTAAGGAAGTCATGATAAGGAGCTTGGAAAAGGTAGGTTGTTTCGGGTTTAGGGCCTAGGGTCTATGATTTAGGGTGTAGGGCTTGTGATTTAGGATCTAAAGCTTAGGGTTCATGAGTTAGGGCTCAGGGCTTAGGGTTTGTGATTTAGGGTTTGAGGTGTCGGGTCGTTTTAGGGTTTGGGGTTTGAAGCGTGGTTTGGACTCTATGTGAGTCCATAGGGTTCCTTTACAGGCACTTGTGGGGATGGGATCCTAAACCATAGGGGTTCCATGATGGGGGCTTTCAGGGTTTAGGTGTCTGGGCTTTAGGGCTCTTTGGGGCTAGGGCCTTCGGGGTTTCGTGCAGGGTTCAGGCCCCCATGAAGAAACTTGACCAGGGTTTAGGGTTTAGGGTTTAGGGGATTTTCATGAAAGTGCGATAAGGATTTTACAGGCTTGTAAAAGAGCTGTAGAGCTGTAACGCAAACTCCGATGTTCTTCGTGTTCGGACCACAGTATATTGACTTCCAGCCCCTTCAGCAGAGCATTGCGGAATGCATAACTGCGATGAAGACAGCTATCACTGCGGCTCTGGCAGCTTTCTTGACCACTTCTTTGATCATCCTACAGCAACTAGGGAGAAGTAGTCCTATTAGGAAGATTTATCACGGTGACTACCACTGATGCTGAATTCAGCTCTGGGGCGTATGCGAGTTCTATCGAGCCCTCAACTTCCCGAAGCCATACACCTACGCCCACATCCCGAACCCTCAACTCTGCTACCTACATCTGAATCTGTGCACGTAGTAAAATCGGTGCTAAGGCCGTTGACGTAGCGCGCTCTAAAGGGTTCGCAGGCACCTCAATCCACCCTCTACAACGCTGCAGCAAGCTTCCAAGCACCTAATCGGACTGGCTAGAAAAATCAGACGACATTCTATTGAACCGTCCGCGGGCCTGGATGATCATGCTGTGGATGAGCTTCTCCTTACCTCATGTTGGGTCTTGAAACACGTAAGTATCTTTACATACTAGTTTTTCTATATTATGTGTTACGTATTGTATAGTAAATCTGATAATTAAACTGAATACCTATCAGTATTGGTATCATTCTTAATTAGTATTGCTTCCACGACCATACGAGTTCGGATTAGCGGGAAATTTTGGGGATGTAGACCCTCTCAATAAGGGTTAAGAAGGGTTCCCATTAAGGGGTCTCCCTAATACTACCTAATATATAGGGGCCTTAATAATTGCCTCTGCTATTCTTGGGTGTTCCTTATTATAACTATAGTATCATATACCCCAAAACCCTATTCCAAGCATTAAGGCCCCTACACCCTAAACCCTTATAGTAGCCCTTATAGGGGTGGTTGTCAAAATTATGGTCCCTTTTTGGGTCCTTATTATAATACGGCACCTAATATTTAGGGTACCCAAAAAGGGACCCTAATTTTGACAACCACCCATATAGAACCCTGTAAGGAACCCTTTAAGGCCCCTAGATTACCTAGGAGACCCGGCCTAAACCTGCGCTTCGCCAGAGCTCCAACCGAAACCCGAAGCTCCCGACAGCAGAGTTTAGGGTTTAGGGTT